AGGAGGAGGTCAGCACAAAATGATCAAGGCAAAGGAAGACACTGCAGGAAGAGTTAAAGGCAACAGAAGTAAATAATATCACATACATAATCTTGCAGTAACATTAATAACAATATTCTATGAGTGGACAAATAGGTAGACAGAGAAACTGAACAATGTGGAAAGGCGAATGGGACTACACCCACGAATATATATAGGTTTGACAAAGAATATTTCTACGTATGTATTTACATATGCTGCAACTATTTCCATGAATATAGTAGAGCATATCGGGTAAAGTTATGAAACTTCTTAGCCACAACCAAATTCCTCGATGGAATGAGTCACTAGGCCTGAGGGCTAAGACTAGTCTCAGTGGACATCAAGGTCAATTGGCACAACATAGTCCACAAAGAAAATGTTCTACATTCTACTTTAATGAGTAGTGACTAGGGTCTTAAAAGCTTGTGAATGACCATGTAAGTTGCAACTATTGGTGTCTCCCCACCCAGAGCAAAGAAGAGTGAAGAAAATAAAACATGCATGGAAACAATTAGTCCAAAAGAGTAATGGACCACCTGAACCTTCGCCTCCATGACCCTGAGACCAGAAGACCTGGACAGTGCCTGGCTATCATTACCGATCAATCTGAAAGGGATCACAATAAAAGGTCCTGGATAGAGTGAGTGGGAAAATGTGGAACAAAACTCAAAATCATAAAACACCAGGCTCACTAGTCAGATAGAGACTGCTGGAACCCTTGAGACCATGGCCTTTAATTACCCTTCAAGCCTGGAACTGAACTCACCCAGTGGTTCAGCTTTCAGCCAAACAACAGACCGTTGTATAAGGCAAACAATAACACCAGGGAGGAATGCACTCCTTCCAGCAATCAACTATATGAGATCAAAAGGGCAGTATTTGCCCAGAGACAAAGTTCAGAAAGCAGGAAGGGATAGGAAAGAAGGATGAATGAAAATGGGAAACACAGGGAAAAAATGGGATGAGTGCTGTTACATTGCAGCGATTGCAATTAATGACATGAAACAAAATATGTATGAATTTTTGAATGGAAAACTAATATGCTCTGTGAGCTTTCGCCCAAAAAACAATAGAGAAAATCAATTGAACCAAAAGCTTATATTTGTAAAGATCAATTAAATTTATAAAACTCTGGGCATACTAATCAAGTGGATGGGGACAAAGAGAGACAAAGCACACATACAAAATATATTTTAAGAATATTAGAAGGTTGGGCAATCTACTTCCGTAGTGATACTGCCTTGGAAACTCAAGGAAGGGTTGTTATGAGTTGGGGTCGACTCCACGGCGCATAACAACAACAACAACAACAACTGTTACTTATTAGTTGCCGTTGAGCTGATTCTGACTCATGGTGACTCCATGTGTGCAGAGTACAACTTCTCATAGGGTTTCAAGGCTGTGATCTTTAAGAAGCAGATTTGCAGACCTGTCTTCAGAGGCACCTCTGAGTGGGTTCCATCCTTTCAGCCTGTAGTTAAGTGTTTAACTGTGTGCGCCACCCAGAGACTCCTACTACTGTGATAAGCACTGTCAGGGATGAACCAAAGCTATTTCATGCAATAAGCAGGCAATCTAGTTGGGATAGTTAAAACAAGAAAAAGAAAACTATGAATGGCAGACTTTTCAGAGAAGAGAGCAGTGTAGGAATTGCATGATAAAAACCAAAAGGACATAATGAATAGAGAAAGGAGGAGCATCCTGGGGCTATGGCTGGGGAGTACAGCACAGGAGGGTCTTGGAGGCACTTGGTGAGGACGAGAATCTTGAGTTTTATTTTCAGAGTAATTTGCCTAAGAGTATGAAAACACATAGGTGTCAAGGTTGTATCTAAAACTTCCCCACCCCAAGTCATTCCTGGGTTCCACTCACAACTGGGCCAGGTCAAGTAGATGAGGTCTTGGGCTAGGGCCATCAACATGAAAGATTTCTACCACAAATTATTAAAGGACTTCACACACACCTACCTAGCTGTTCATTATCCTCTTGTTCCTTTGACTAGACAAAATCTGCATTTGGATTCAAAGTCTTATAAGCTAATTGCTTTCTATTTCAAATAATATATTTTAAATATAATCACAAATTGATTTTGCCAAATTCACAAAAAATTGCTTTACTATAACTTCAGATTGAGGGAGTCAGGAGAGTTTCTTTAGTCATCTTTGTTGTTATGTGCCGTCGAGTCAAACCCGACTCATAGCGACCCCTTCTTGGGTTTCCGAGGCAGTATCACTACGGAAGTAGGATTGCCCAACCTTCCTTTCGAGGAGTGGCTGGTGGGTTTGAACCGCCAGCCATCTGGTTAGCAGGCAAGTGTCTTAGCCATTATACTACCAGAGCTCCCTAGTCATCTTTAGTTATGGTAAATTTAAGAGCAAACCCTTTTTTGGTTTGTGGCAAAATCCCAGTGCGGTTTTTAGGAGGAGCAAGTCATTTGTTTTTCCAGTAATTATAGATTCATTAACTCTTTGGGTTTCCAAGGTTGTAAATGTTTACAGAAGTAGATCATCTCACCTTCCTTCCAAGGAGCAACTGGTAGATTTGAACCACCAACCTTCTTGTTAGTAGCCAGATGCCTTACCCACTATATTACTAGAACTCCTTTTCATTAACTCAGTAAATACTTTTAAATGTCTACCATATGCTGAAAGGAGCTCTGGAAGCTCAGTGCCTAAGGCATTTGACTGCTAACCAGAATGTTGGTGGTTCAAACCTACCAGCTACTCTGCAGAAGAAGGAAGACTGGGCAATCTACTTCCGTAAAGATTTACTGCCTCGGAAACCCAAAGAGGGTCACTGTGAGTCAGAATCTACTAGATAGCAGTGAGTTTGGTTTTGGTTTTACCATATGCTGGTCAGTAAATGTTTAGGTAGAAGGGATTCAAACACGAATAACGTATAATTTTAGCCTAAAGTATATAAATGCTCCTAATGCTGTGCCCTGGTGACATGGTGGTTAAGAACTCGTCTGCTAACTGAAACATCAGTGGTTTGAACCCACTAGCTGGTTCAAACCAGCTGGTTTTTCTCCAGAGGAAAAAGATATGATAGCCTGCTTCTGCTTCCTTAGAGATTACAGCTTTGGAAACCCTATTCCCAGTTCTACTCTGTCCTATAGGGTCACTGTGAGTTAGAAGTGATTCTAAAACAAAGTGTTTCTCAATATTAGCTCAAGGAGCCTAGTGGCATAACAGTTACGCACTCTGCAGCTAACTGAAATGTTGGAGGTGGAGCTCATGCAACAGTTCTGCAGGAGAAATACCTGGTGATCTGTATTCTACAAATTTGTATTCTACAAATACTACAGCCTAGAAACCCCTATGGGGCAGTTCTGCTGTGTCACATGGGATCAATATGAGTTGATATCAACTTGACAGCACCTAGTAACAACATATCAGCTCATAGTCTAATATAATGAGAAAGATGTCTAAACTGATCAGTGTTCTAAAGTGTTAGCAAAAAGGCGCATGGTAGAAGATTATTTATGTGGCATACAACTGGGGTACAAAGGCAGAAGTAATCTTTTTTTAGGAGGGCCATGTGGGGTGCTCAGGAAAGACATCATAGGAAGAATCTTTGAGATGAGTCTTAAACACCGAGTTGGTATTTGTTGGAGTCCCTGGGTGGTGCAAACAGTTAACTCACTCAGCCACTAACCAGAAAGTTGGTGATTCAAATCCTCTGGAGAAAGGCCTGACAATCACTTCTGAAAAATTAGTCATTGATAACTCTATGGAATACAATTCTGCTCTCACACACACGGAGTCGCCATGAATCTGAGTCAACTTTCCAGCGAATGTCTTTTTGTTTTGTTTTGTTTTTAGGTATGTGTTAGGGGAATGAGAGGGGGTCTTCTATCAGATGAAGCCATAGGAAAATAAAGTTGGTGTGGGAAAAGGTGGTATGTGAGAGAGGACAAGTCACGGAGGCCTTGTGCATTGTGACAGGTGCTGGGTCTGACCTTAGAAACAGGAGAGCCAGAAGATGTGCTTCAAAATCTCACTCCAGTGGCAATGTACAGAGTTAGAGGGAGGCAAGAATTGGAAGGGCCAGGTGGGAAGGTGCTGAACTGTTCAGACCAGAGATGGTGAGGATCTGTTTGAAAGCCCAACTGGACATCATAGAAGGGGCTCTGCTGGCGTAGTGGATAAGACATTTAGCTGCTAACTAGGTCAGCAGTTCTAACCCACCAGCTGTTTCGCTGAGGAAGATGAGGCAATCTACTTCCATAAAGATGTAGAGCCTTGGAAACCCAATGGGGGTCACTATGAGTAGGAACCGACTCAACGAAAGTGAGTTTGTTTTGTTTATTTGGCCATGATAGTGATAGGAGCTCTGGTAGCATAGTGCCTAAGGCACTTGACTGCTAAGGTTCAAACCCACCAGCCACTCCTCGGAAGGAAGGTTGGGCAATCCTACTTCTGTAGTGATACTGCCCCGGAAAACCCAAGGAGAGGTTGCTATAACAACAACAACAACAGGGACAAGGGGGAGATGCAAGAGATATCATGGAGAAAATCTCCAGGACTTGGTGACTAATAGGAACCATGGGGGCAGAAGAGGAAGATAACATAGAGCTCTTTTGTGGTGGGAATGATTCAATTCCCTTGGGCTGGGAGGCTTGGTTAGCTCATTTGTTCTGCAGAGGTTTTTGTTTGTTTGTTTTTTGTTTTGTTTTGCTCTGTTCTTAAGAATGATCACAGTAGCTTAAGAATACAGAAGAAAATGTTGTACTTCATCACTTTGACTTTCTTCCATTTCCTCTGGGTTTAACTTGTTAGATAAAACTTTATGAGGCATTTGTTACCAAGGAAACTAAAAGATTAGCTCCTTACATGGTGTAAGGATGATGGGAAACATGTGATCTGAGGGGGAACCTTGGATGTCTGCAGTCTCTGGAGGTACATGGAAGCTGACTTGATTTCTCCTCAACCTCCCATCCCTGATCCCATTTTGCTTTGCCTCTGTTTTTCCTCTAGACCCTGTTTGTAATTATTGGCCTCCTGACAGGCTGCTATTTCTGCTGCTGTCTGTGTTGCTGTTGCAACTGCTGCTGTGGACGGTGCCGGCCCAAGACATCAGTGCCAGAAGAGGACTTCTACATGTCCCCAGAGGACCTCGAGGAGCAAATCAAGACAGACATGGAAAAAGGTGGAGTAAGATGAGAACGGAGGTACTGGGTATCCCTCCATAGACCTGGCCAAGTACCATGTCTCATGGCAATGGTTATCACCAAGGGCAAGGGAACCAACAATCAAATGGGGGGAATCCCACAGAATGTCAGCTTTGGTACCTCTTTTGGGGGGGACGAAAGGAAAGATACATTCACCAGGCATAGAGAAAAGTGGAACCTGATACCTTTGAAAGAAATGACAATATATGCTGATCACAAAGTGAACACAGTGTGAATCGTGATCTAAGTAGAAGAGAGAGTTAGGTTCAAGGAAGCTGGTGGTGGGGAGCATAACCTGAGACAGGAAAACCAGAACTAAAAATTCTCCCAGAAAAAGTATTTTGACCTGTTGCTTTAGGATCTCTATTGAATCAGGAGACCAGGTGGCAAAATAGTTAAGTGGTCGGCTGCTAACAGAAAGGTTGGCAGTTCAAATCCACCCAGTGGCTCTATGGGAGAGAAACCTGTTGATCTGTTCCTGTAAAGATTGCAACGTAGAAAACTCCGTGGGATCATTGTGACTCAAAACTTGACTTACCAGCACCTAACGACATTGAATCAGAAGGAAATGGACATCAAGTAAAGTCTTCAATCCTTGATTTTCCTTCTATTTGATTCCTTAATAATGAATTTTGGTGGGAAAGGTGCTCCTCCTTCCCCTGAAATTCAGCTCCCTTCTAAATCCACACAGTCAAGGATCCTCAAACCAGCATCAAAATACTGCCTCATTTAAATATGACTACTGTAGATTGCCCAACCTTCCTTCCCAGGAGTGACTGGGCAATCCACTTCCTAGTGATACTGCCTGGGCAACCCAAGGAGGGGTTGCTATGAGTCAGCTCCAGCTGGATAGCACATAACAACAACAACAACACTGGCTTTTCTAAACTGCTTCCACAAGTGCATTTGTGTGTGTGCGGGGCAATGGTGTGTTACTTGATTCTTCAAATTCATTCTACCTAGAAATGATAAAGGAAAAAAAATGTAAAGAAAGACAGAATCTCAAAGAATTCACAACGAGCAACACTTTCTGTTTTCAGGAAATGCCTTCGATTAAAGAAGTTGGGGTCAAACCTGCCATTGTTCCTGCTTCCTCTTACGGCCATAACTCTGCCATCATTTTCTCCTGTAGAACGCATCATTACTCTGACTTACACCCTGTATCACTAAATCCCAGAGAACCCTGGACAGCCAATAAAATAACTACCAAATAAAATAAAATAAAGTAATTCAGATGCAGTTGCCAAGTGGCCCATTTTTGTCAGAACTGCCAAAATCCAGAATGGGGCACTTCATTCCATTTTCTGATTCTTTTGAACACAATGAGATAGACATTTCATGACACGAAACACTAGAGGCTATTTAAAGCTCTCACACACATTTTATTCCCTATGAAATGAGATGCTAAATAATGTCCAGTTATTGCCCACATAGATTCCAACTTAAAGAGAGGAGTCTTCAATCATGTGAATCATACTGAATCCCAGATTCCTTCAGGCTTGGGAGGTCTGAGAGGACAGAGTTTTCCTGCACTGTCATCCCTTTCCATGGAGATCACTGGGTAACTAATCCAGAAAACAGTTGGGTTGTTCTGACACTTAATTTAATTTTCCCTGGAGCCAAATCATTGTCCCATGGTGAAATACAATTTTTCTTTTGTCTTATTTAGGACATAAAGGGGAAAATGGATTTTTTTTTTTTTTTTTGCTGCCCTTCTAATCACCCATGGTTGATTGTTCTAAGTGGTACATCTCCCTGGTGTAAGTGTTCAGCTAGTAGGCTGTCTATTGTTTGGCTGAGAGTTAAGCCATGGGAGGGATTTCAAAGAATGACTTGGGCCATAATCTCAGGGGTTTCACCAGTCTCTATCAGACCAGTAAGCATGGTCTTTTTTGTGACTTTGAGTTGTGTTCTACGTTTTTCTCCCACTCTATCCAGGATCTCCAATTTTGATCCCTTTCCAAGTGGTTGGTTGGCATTGGTAGTCAGACACCACCTAGTTCTGGCCTCAGGGTCATATAGGCTGAGGTTTTCACAGTTCATTAGTCCTTTGGACTGTTTACATGTGTCTTTGATTTTCTTCGGGAGCTCTGGTACCATAGTGTCTAAGACATTTGACTGCTAACCAGAAGGCTGGTGGTTCAAACCCACCAGCCACTCCTCAGAAGGAAGGTTGGGCAATCTACTTCTGTAGAGATATCACCTTGGAAATCCAAGGAGGGGTTGCTATGAGTCAGGACTGACTCAATAGCAGTGAGTTTCGTTTTTGGTTTGATTTTCTTCACTCTTTTTTGCTCCAGATGAGGAGAGACCAATAACTGCATATTTGATGGCCACTTGCAAGCTTTTAAGACCCCAGTTTATTATTTTTATATATTATGTTGTGTTAGTTGAGCTTGATGTCTCCCAAAACCATCATCCCTAGCCCATAGGCCAAGCAACTCACTTCCTCAAGGTGCTTAGTTATGGCTAAGAAGTTATCCTAACTTTGCCTGCTGTTAGCTTTAAACTGCATAGGGGCATTTTTATAGCACTACAAATACATACACAGGAATATTGTCTGCCAAATCTATGTATGGTCGTGGGTGCATCCCTCTTCACCTATCCATGCCTGATCTTCTTGCCTGTCTACTTATGTATCCACCCATAGAGTCCATTATAAAAAGTCAAGGAAAGGTTTACACAGGGAAGGAAATTTTCTTTTTTGATTACCAGGAATAGGAGGGAAAATAGATGAATAGTTAAGTGATAGCTTTGATATAGGTGAAAGGAAAAGCAATATAACATAAACATGTGACTAGCACAATAACACTAAGGAAAAGGAAGACACGGAGAGGTGCACAAGAGGTACATACAATAAAGGCAAATACTACTGCATATACATTACTGCTTTGTCAGTAATAGCAACACTGATATATGGGTGGATATATAAGTAGACAGGCAAGAAGATCAGGACATACATACCATAAAGAGCAAGCAAGCAGGATCCTTAATAAATGGATTAAACAGAGATATATGCATGAAAACTCTTTTACAGAAAGATCAGCCACCTTGGCATAACTTGTTTAAGAGTGATAATTCCAGAGTACTAATCCTATCTGCTCTTATAAGATGGATAAACTGTTATAAGACCATGTCAGGGGTCCCTGATACCATTTTCCATAGGATCTCCCTTAAGAACCATCAACCCAGTTCAGTATTTGGTTGAGCACTCAGTGGGAGTTCAGTACTTGATTGAGGATAGGAAGAGACAGTGAGCTACAACAGTGTCATCCTCCTCCTCTGTGTCAACCTTAACTTTTCCTTTATATTGGGAAAACCAAAATAGATGTCTCAAACCTAGATGTCCAAATCTACTCATTCACACTTCTCTGAAAAGCTTCATAGTCCTTCTTCTTTTTAAATCAGATAAAAGCTCCAGAAGATCACTTAAATAGACCCTGTATTAAGTTCTTTGCAGAAGATTTCTATCTTGGAATGGAAATTCATACTAGGTGCCAAAGTAAACCCAGGTTTCCTTCCTACAGAGAATTGGTGATAAATCTATGTGCCTTTTCACTGATACCCAAGAGCTACCAAATCCATCACAGAGGTCAGATTCCAGATGAGTAAACCACTAATGCCATTTGACTGTATTATTCAGAATCCTCAGCTGAAAGGAAAAGTGCTTTCCTATCTAAATATTTAAAAGTTCCTGTGCATAGTGTCTAAGGCATGTGACTGCTAACGAGAAGGCTGGCGATTTAAACTCACCAGCCACTCCTCAGAAGGAAGGTTGGGCAATCTACTTCCATAGCGATACTGCCTCAGAAACCCAAGGAGGTGTCGCTATGAGTCGGATCTAACTCCATGGCAGTGGGTTTGGTTTGGTATGCAGTTTTGTGGGGCCTGAAACTTGTACAATCTGGACAGTACTCTTCGCATGAAAGAGTACAAAATTACAAACACAAAATTAGGTCTGAAAAATGAATATTTTAGTGAAAGAAATCACAGAAAATTACAAAACTTAACACTGGGAGCTCTGGTAGCATAGTGGCTAAGGCACTTGACTGCTAACCAGAAGGCTGGCGGTTCAAACCCACCAGCCACTCCTCAGAAGGAAGGTTGGGCAATCCTACTTCCGTAGTGATACTGCCTCGGAAACCCAAGGAGGGGTCGCTATGAGTCAGGGCTGACTCGACGGCACATAACAACAACAACAACAACACTGACAAATACCAAAAATATCATAAAATCTAGAAAAATAGCAATAGTTTAATTAGCTTCCTGGCACACCTCTATGATACTTTCCCTCTATGTTTTATGGCTTTGGTAGAGCTTTGTTTTAAGGAACAACGATGATGCAGTGCCTAGAGCATTTGACTGCTAACCAGAAGGTTAGTAGTTCAAACTCACAAACTGCTCTATGGAAGGAAGATGCGGCAATCTACTTCCATAAAGATTCATCGCTTTGGGGTCCTATGAGTGAGGATTGACTGGATGACAGTAAGTTTTTGAGTTTATGTTGTATAGCCATTGCCTCTTCATATAACAATTTTGTAAGATCATTTTCTATATGGAGAATAGAAAAATAATTCTCTCCTCTAGCATATTTAATTAGTTTTTTATTATTGATAAATGAGAGAAGTTTCTTTCAGGTTCACAGCTCATTACTAGTAAAGTAAACTTTCAGATATCATCGTCAAATTCAGGAAAACTCCTATCTAGTTTATTTCATGTATAAGATGTAAGATTTGCAAGAATTTCCACAGACCACCCTTTGATTCTGTACATTTCAAACCTTGTTGCCCTAACCATCCAATACTTCTAGGGTCAGGGTCCATTTGGACACATTGATATCATGTGACCACCTTTGACCTGCAACTTCATATCCCCTTGGCAAGTGAATTAGCATAATGATCTGTAGGTGTATTCCTGAAAACCATTCCTATACTGTCAATAATTACCTATACATAGACTTGCTGCAAACCACAAACTC